TCCCCCTCTCTCTCTCTCTCTCTCTCTCCCTCCCCCCCTCCCTCCCTTCCTCCTTCTCCCTCTCCCTCTCCCTCCCTCCTCAAGACAGGGTTTCTCTGTACAGCCCTGGCTGTCCTAGAACTCCCTCTGTAGACCAGGCTGGTCTCAAACTCACAGAGATCCCCCTGCCTCTGCCTCCTGAGTGCTGGGATTTCAGCCCTGCACCACCACAGCCCTGCTTCAACATGGGCATTCTTAATTCATAATCTCTTTCCCCTAGAGACAAAAGAATTCATTAACCCTTGCATTATTCTGCTAGCGTTTCTCCTCCCTCACTCCTCAGAAACTGCTGTGGCCCACACCCTGCCTCCTATGACCCCCATCCTGGCCTGAGCAACCCCCACTCCATTCCTGAGTCAGCTGTCTCTGCCTGCTTCCCCCTCCAGGCGTCAGCCCTCCTCAGGTTGCCTGCCTGCCTGCCTGCCCCAGACACTTCTCAGGAAATCTTGGCCTGAATATCCCACTTGTGTTAGTTTGTCCCCTCCCCACCATGGTACCTCGTGAGGTAGGTAAGGATATGCAGTCTGCACATAAACGTATAGCTCTCTTCTGGAGTTAGTGCCCAGACCCAAGTCCCTGACTGCCTCACCTACAGCAATGAAGGAGGACACGTGTCTGCATCCTGTGTGAGACAGAGCGTCACAGATAAATGACAGTGACCTGCACAGCCAGGGATGTAGGAGGCTGGTAACAGCTGTGTGGGTGAGGCTGACTGGAAACAGCCTCTCTTCCCCAAGTTGGGGGCTGGAGGTTTGGGCCCTCAGAGGGTGTGTCAAGTCTCCCTGGTCTTGTGACAGGTCTGGGAACTGGCCCCAGGACCACAAGGAGTCTGACTGGTCTATGAACCCGTCCAGAGGTCAGTCAGCAGTCAGCACCCTGAAGCACATAGCACACACACACACACACACCCGCACACACACACACACACACGGGGGGGGGGTCTTCTCAGCCCCAGTGTTTCCTTTGTCCCTGTTTCCAGCCTGGACTGACCTGCTTCATCTACCACCCAGGAGTGAGCAAGAGCAGGGCAGAGCAATGCACCGAGGTGGGCGCCCAGGAGTGGCAGAGGCCGTTATCACTGAAGTCTGGTATGGGTCTCTTGGAAACCTGAGCTCTGTCCTGACCCGGGTGGTTGGGAGTGTTCATCTTGCACATGGTGCTGGAGTCCAGTAGCTAGCTACAGCCACCCCAGAACTTCGTGCCACCCCGTGCACAGCATGCACTGGGCTCGGAAGGGTGACTCTGTGGCCGGGTGGGAAGAGGCTGTCCTCAGCTAAGGTGACTTTCTGAGCGGCCCTCGAGAGCCCGGCGCCCAGTTATGGACAGGCAGGCAGATCCCAAGGACGCATTTGCAGTTCTGCTTTTGCTACACTGTCTTGCCGGGTAAAGGACAGCCACCTTCGCAGTTCCTGCAACCCCAAACCCTGGTCCTGGCAGGCCAGGGGGCGGAGGTAGTGTCCGGGGCACACAGCATTGGCCCACCTCGCGTCCCCGGATGCTCCGGGTCATTTGCTTTC